GGTTCACAGCGCGTTCTAAGGAGGTTTGGGTAATTTTAGAGCGGACAACGTGACATCCAACACAATTTCGACCTATGCCATGCTCAAGCACTCACTTTGATGCAATCAACAATACCAAAACATGCAACTAGTTTTTAAATATTTTTGTTAGAAATTAAATGTCAAAATAGCATTGTCTTACTACTTTTCCATACTTAGAAAAATTAAGGATTCAATTCAAACTAACAGCCATTAACAGTTTTGTTACAATTTTTAAAAGGCCTAACCCCTATTAACTGCTACCAACAAGTATTTCATGCGATAGTCCATACCTTATACTAATCCATAGGAGCAAAATATTTAAGCACCATTTAACTATTTTGCTCAATATAATTCGCCAAAAATGGTAGTTTAACAATAGTTCAAATATTTGCCGACTTAACAAAAAGAGCTTATCTTAACGTCAAATTTGATTTTTGAGCTCCCAAGAACACTAGTTAACACTATTATTAACTGCTACCAACAAGTATTTCATGCGATAGTCCATACCTTATACTAATCCATAGGAGCAAAATATTTAAGCACCATTTAACTATTTTGCTCAATATAATTCGCTAAAAATGGTATTTTAACAATAGTTCAAATATTTGCCGACTTAACAAAAAGAGCTTATCTTAACGTTAAATTTGATTTTTGAGCTCCCAAGAGCACTAGTTAACACTATTTATTTTGATTTTTCTCAACCACAAAAGTGAGTCACATAGGCTTCGCTTATCATTTCACGTGTGTTATAAATTTTTAAAACCCAAAAACTTGTCTGGCTAATTCCTCTCGGACCTAAATCTTGGTGCTAAGCAAGCTCATAACACCAGGGGTGTTACAACAAGGTGGCTGCTCAACCTGTTTGAACACTGAGTTGAGCCCTCTATGATCTTAGACATAAATACAATGATAACTTCGACTATACTAAGCCTATACTCAAAGTAAACTATGAACATGATAACTAAGAACATAATATAAATGAAGATTAAAGTCATTGATAAGATAAATGTAATGGATACAAGGGCTATTCCAATCCTCCAGTGACTTGATCTAGAATCCGAGCAGAAGCTTGACTCTACTTGATCTATCTTAGCTAACTATGCTATAACTCTAATTATTTGGGAGTTCTTCTCTTCTGAGGTTGGTTTGACTCGAATGAATTGAATGCCTTCTTGGAGGGGCTCTGGGGGTCCTTTTATAGGGGGCGCCTGGCTCCCTATGGGCCCATGGATCCATGGCTATGCTTCATCTCGACTCTCCGTTCGAACCGACCTTGATAGATGGTGGATATTCAGCCTTAGAGGCGGTGGAACAATGTTGGTGCCGACGAGTGAACCAGGGGTGGTCGGCCAGCCTACATGTGAGGTCGGTCGACCCCACCCTAGGCTCCTATCGACGTGAGTCTTCTTCTAGTAGGTGCCCCACATGTCATAGAGTCGAATGGAGTCAATTTCGTGTTGAATGATCTTGATTGGTTGATGAAATATGGCCCACTTGGTCCGTTTTTTGGATAATCCCTCATACATTCACAGAATCTCTAAAACTTGTGGAAACACTTAGTTTAAACAACTATACCTATGTTGGTGATCGAGTTTAAGAGTAAATATAAGTCATATTGACGGTTTATATTTGATGTTAACGACCGTCAATAGCCGGATGGGCCTTAGGCGGCCACGACACTCAAGCTCCTCCGTGTCTACCGTATCTACAATTTGAGGAGGTGCAACTCCAGCGAACGACACATATCGGAAAGATTCGAGGAGCAACAGCAGCGATTCGAGGAGCTGCAGCTAGCAGTGATTTGAGGAGGCGCGAATGCGGCATGGGATAGCAACGACCGTGTGGGCGAGTAGGGGTGGAGCAACGGACTCAACAGAAATTCCAATCCAGGAGGAAGAAAAAAAAGGTAAAGAAAGCTGACAAATGGACCCCACTTGTTAGTGGTTGATCCCGCTTTTGATGTCTTAGACCAAACAGAAAATGGGTTGGTCCCATCCTTCTTCAACCAAATAGAAATTAGAGTCGTCCCATCCGTGTCCCATCTTGAAACCAGAGATGAGCCTTGTCGAGCTCGACCCACTGACACTAACGCTGTACACAGGCACCACACTTGATCATAACATCATGGAGGACCCGATGCTGGTGGAGCACGCGACTTTACATGTGTTGGGGATTTGACTTCATCAGAAAAATGCAGCCCCAGAACTTTGAAGTAGTACTGATAATTTTGGTAACAAAGTTTGCCTAGAGTTGACAAAGGCGAAGACGATAATTTGACTTCGCTAAGAAGAGTCTAGCTTCGCTACAAATAAGAAAGTTTGGAGCGAAGATGAAGTTCTGACTTTGCTCAGCAGGCAAAGTCAAAAAGATTCAAGTCGGAAAATTATTCAAGACTTAGAGATGAATACAGAAGGACACGCCATAATCATGAAGAATGAAGGCTAGGAAGGGTAGAAAGACAACTTTGCCCCTATAGTTTGAAGGGGTTGTATCGATTTGAGAGAGGGGTAAAATAGTCATTTGTTTATAGATTACGAAGGCTTGGACCTCTATAAGTACCCTCTCTGACATGTATAGTACAATAATGCAATGAATACAACTTTCACTTGTGTTCAAGTTTGATGTTTATGTGATTGTTTTACCCAACAACATGCTAGCAGTCGGATTGTCACGTGCCCTCCACTTAGGCACCCTGCACCAGCGGTCACCGAGCTAGAGGATAAGGCCCTAGCGGTGGTGTCACGGGGTCAAAACTGTGGCAAGCATTGTTGTTCGAGTCGGTGTCAGAGTACGTCTCTCCGGTGGCTCGGGTGGACTAAAAATATAAGAATCACAAAGAGGACGCAACGGTTTATCCTAGTTTAGACCGATCGATGCCCTACGTCTAGTAGCTAATGATCCTTATACTCAAGAGCACCCAAAATCAAGGGGTTACAATAGAGTGTACATGACGAAGAGATAGATTTGGTAGGGGGTTAGCTCGGTGCTAATCATAAGGTTGCCTCACCGCTGGTGGAGCCTTCCCCTCGTCGATGCCCCTCTCTCGGTTGCTTTGCTCTCGTTGCTAAGCAGGAGCGGATTGATGAGGAATGGAATGATCTATCTAGGATCATCCTCCCCCCTCTAGGATCCGACCTTACCCCTTATATATGAAGATAGGTAGTGTACATGGCGGTTTGGGCGGTTGAGCCTATGGTCTATATGCGTCAGAGTCTAGGGGGGTCTTGCAGCGACGCTCTATGGACTGTGGCGGTGTCGTGGAGCTAAAGAAGCCATGGGCGTCATCCGACTACTCTGTTCTAACACTCTGCCTGTCAGGCTGTGTCGCCTTGGACCAACCTCCCCTAGGTGGACCTTCTAGAGTCTTCTTGGTGGAGAAGGAGGTTGGCTCTGGGGGCTAACATGTGAGCCCGGGAGCCCCCGAGCCCCTAGAGGCTGAGGGGAAACTTGTCTTCTTGTGTCACACCCCGTGCGTGACCCTGTCGGGGGAGCAGCTGGCAAGGCCGTGCCTAGAGTGCTATGTCATGGAGCCCCCAAGCCTCGATGGCTCGGGGCAAGTCTTCTTGTGCCCGGACCTTGGCCGATGTCGCAGGCTGAGCAGGAGTTGAGGACCAGGCTCAGGTTTCCCGTCGATCGGGAGCCTGAGGCTCGGGCGAGCCCTCGAGCCCTGAGTAGGGGCCCTGGCATGCTTGGGCTTGGGCAGGTTCCTTAATCTAAGGGTGTGCATGAGCATACTATTGGTGTTTCTTAAATCACCATTGTTGGCGGTCCCTAACGACCAAATCCGACCACCAATAAAGACATAAAAAGGAGAGAAATTAACAAACTTAAACACATATGCATTTTGATGGACCAGGGTCCTTGGAGTTCCCCACGGGGGTACTACTTGGATGGCCCTGGGATGGCCCATGATCTGTTGAAGGATGCGAGATAAGGTGGTGTGGACTTCAAGCTATTCTAGATCGACTTAGTCGGCTTACTATGAAAGCTAGATTCTATAATAGGACTATGACTCTTCTCTTGTAACCGACTAGGACTAGATGCGTGCCCTTACCCTCTCCCCTATATAGAGGTATGGTGCACCCCCTTGTAACCCTAACAATCATACAATCAATCCAACGCAAAAGGCTACACACCGACTGGACATAAAGGCTATTACTCGACAAGAGGGTTCAAACCAGTATAAATCATTCGTCTCTTTGCGTTTACTGTCGAGTTCTACGTACGCTGAAGCCCTTCGAACATCATCCCGGGTAACCTTGTGATGAGTTTCCTATAGCTGGCGCACCCGGTAGGGGCTTTCAGCGACTTCGTGATCGAGAGCTCGACGAACCTCGATGACATGATTTTCTCGGTGAGTATCACCTTCATCTTTGGCTCCTTGATCTGCAAGGCAAATGACAACAACAAGCTCCAAAGTTGTCTCATGGAGATCCCGGCGCCTCAAGGTTCACTAGATGTCTCGATGACCACGCTAGATCACCTCGCCGAGAAGTTTTTGCACCTCTCAATCTCTGATTCAACTCGAATTCAGGAGGTCACCATCAACTTCGACTCCCCGCTCGGACACGCCACCTTTGTCCAAGCTAGAGATCCCATCCAAGTCCAATACAAAGACCCAATTTGTTTTCTACTCGGACTCAAGAATTCAACTTCAATCTATCAAGACATAATCAACTACCTCGTCTGATCGAGCAAGAGATCCCTCTTACGGGTGCCCGGAGAGGTTTGGTTCTATCCATCACACTCGAAGGAGGCATCGTCCATTGGCAGTGCTTGACCCGACACTTCTTTTACAGATCTATCTCTCCTAGTCGGCATAGTGGAACTTTTACCTTATCGAGACAACATAACTCTTCCAACGGACAACAAATGATCATGGTTCTCTGAGAGATCTTAGACATCATGACAACTATAGAATTTGGAACTCACTCGACCATGAGGCACTCTAGAGAAGTCTTCATGGCTGGGCAACCACCTCAGATCCCTATGCCTAACCCACCAGATATCCAAGATGGAGAGGAAACCTTGTCCGACATCTCTCCGGACACTGCGCCACCCAATGGAGAGATGGATGAACAGAAGACGGCTAGGGAAAGGAAGAACAGAGCTCGACAGGCTCGGTGCAACCGCACCCAACACCATAGGGAGGAGTGGCAATGGTATCAATTAGCTTGTCGAGATATTGAACGACGGTGCTTGGTTGCACAAGCAACATATGAATAGCGTCTATTGGATGGTGAAGCAGAATGATAGCGCCAAGACCGTGATGCCGTCAGAGCCTCTACATCATGCAACCTTGGGCTTGATTTCATGGAAGTAGCTGGCCATAGGGTCTTCACTATGCCCTATGCCAATGTCTACACCCTAGGAGAAGAGATGGCGGCCATAGAAAACCCTACTCTAGATCAGTAACGACTCAAAGTCATTTTGGAATCCACAGCCCTTCAGATGCAGGCTGCAAAAGCAACATCCCAAGCTAACCCTTCTTGAGGACCAGAGGCACGGGCACCAGCCCACTCTCATTTGGGACCATATGGTAACCAATGAGGAGAACAACATGTACTAGCCCACTCCCGTCTAGGGCCTCAGGGTAACTAGAATAGGAATCAGGGTGCCGCTTAGTCGGCCTATCATTGGCACCAATACAGCAATAGGGAAGGCAGAGGTGAGTTCGAGTACAGAGAGGCTGGCATCCCACCAAATAGGTTCCCATGTTTCTCTGACAAGACTACTCTCTGTTCGACTTTCCTACAAATTTAAGTCATCCAACCATACCAAGTACGATGGGAAGACAGAACCGAACCAATGGTTGCGCATCTACTCTCAGTCCATCGAGTTGGCAGGTGGCGACGACAATATCAAAGTGTTATATTTTCCCATGGCACTCAACACTATGCCTCTCACCTAGTTGGATAAACTATGAGCCCGCTCCATCGATACTTGGGGACAGCTTCAGCACAAATTCTGTGAAAATTTTTGCGGAGTCCTCACCCACCCAAGTACTCAAAACGAGCTTAGAACTTGCAAACAGTAACCAGATGAAACCCTCCAGCAATATTACCATTGCTTTGCTAAAATACAAGCCCAAGTCTTTGATGTCACAGACAGGGTGGTGATAGATCACTTCGCCAATGGGATCAAATACAGGTGGCAGTTTGAAAAGTTCTGCGACGATAATCCAGAGACCACCGAGGAATTTAAGCATACAGTACAGAAGATGATTGAATCTGAAGAACATACTCGCGAATGATTCCCACGTGGACAACAAGACAAATGTTACGACCCCAGAAGCAATCAGGGTGGACAATCTGCCAGAAAGAGAGGACCCGACAACACCCTTGCTTCCATGGATAAGTCCAAGAAGTCTAACAAGAATAACAAGAAGTTCGAAACCTCAAGAATTTACCCTACCCTTTCCACAAGAATGCCAAGCACATGGCAGCCGAGTGCAGACAACTCCAAGAACTGGGTTTCCACACCAAAACCAACAAGGACAAGGGTAAAGCTGATAGGAACAAAGATGGAAATGACAACACCGACCCTGGTTTTCAACAGTCTAAGGGCCAAATCGTAGTAATCTTCGCGAGCCTACCGACTTCATCAAACATGAGCTCTAGGAAGTTGGCTCTTTGGGACATCATGGCAGGAGAGGCCTCAACACCAAAGTACCTTAATTGGTCTGAGTACCCGATCCAGTTTTCTAGAAAAGATCAATGGACTAGCGTAACTAACGCCGGCCACTATCCACTCATCTTGGGTCCAACAATAGCCATCATGATAGTCCCCAAGGTATTGATTGATGGCGACGCAGGATTGAACATAATATTTGCGTGATACATCTTTGAAGATAGGCCTAGACTTTACCAACCTACTCACTCCCACTGATGTCCCTTTCTATGGGATAATACCCAGCAAAGCTGCCATGCCACTCGGACGGATCACGCTCCTGATAACGTTTGGCAACCTAAACAATTTCCACTGACCAAGTTCCACATGTATTTGGAAGATTATTATTTTTGTAGGTCACAAACATAAATGCACCGAAAGGCACTTTCCGACGTTGAATTGCGCAAAGGAATGACAAAGACGCCTACCAACTTAACTCAAACAGAGCAAAACACCACCGAGAAGCGATCCATGTCCACCCCAAAGCCTACCACGCAAAGGCGGTGGGTAGAGGCAATGCTCAAGGGGCGGCCAACCCTAGGGGGCAGGCGACCCCCTCTGGGTCCCTCCCTGCCTCTCCTTGCTCTGGCGGTGGCATGCCTCCATGCTGGGGCGGTGGGAGTCAGTCCTCGCGCCAGGAATAGCCTCCAGCACCACCTCTCTCCTTGTATAAATAGAGGGGGTACCTCCCCTCTACTACACACACCACAAGGCAAAGAGCTTCCACTTTTGAGAAACACTCCAAGCGCTTAGTCCCTAGATAGCTAGTAGAGTAGTAAGGGAGAGATGTGAGGGAGAGATTGGGAAAGCGCCGGACTTATCGGTGTCTCCCCAACTTGTACCTCGATGAGCAACTTTACTTCAACGGGTTCTCCCGCTAAGTGAGTGTCCGTGGTAACTTTGGTATAAAGTCTTTGACTAGTTAAGCTATACTCTTATTTGTTTGCGGGTTCGTCGTCTGTCCTTGTGGTGGATGCTCTAGTAGAAGGGCCCTGATAAAGACGGATAACCCTTGCATGAACGCTAGAGTAATAGTTGATAGCGTAGACATAGTGTCTAGGCTAGAAGCTATCTTCGTTTGCTTCGTTCTGCATGGTTGAGGGGTAGGCGGCAGGTGGTGATAGCCCTATCCGTCCCTTATACTCTCACACGTCCGGGTTTGATGTAGAGCGAAGGCCGGTATTGCTTGGCAAACCAAGGGTAAGCCGACGCCCGAAGTGAGCAAGTAGGAGTCGTGTTTATCTATACATAGACCCTATAAACATAGGAATCCATCTCTACCCTCTACCAACTCTACCCTTGTGTGGTTCTTGGACAAACTATCTAGAAGAAGACCTCTGTTGCCTATGGAAAATACGATACCCTAAATACTTTTGGGTGAAGTGCTACAACGGTAATTCCGTGCACTTGCGGATTATTTCTGTATGCATTAAGAAATACCAACAAGCATTTCTGGCGCTGTTGCTGGGAAACGGTTGCCATATTTTCTTCGAATCTAGTTCGTCCTCGTATCTGTATCTTTTCTTTTTATATAAAAAACACAAGAAAATACTTTTACCATGAAGCCTACACCAAATCCAACCCTTTTCGCTTCAAAGGGTGAGTTCCCTAAGCGACCTTCTGAACCAAAGATTTCATTTAGCTATGAACTCCGCCCTGGCTTGATAGCCATGGTTTGGGCACAACCCTTCTCTGGGCTTGAAAATGAAAACCTTTGCAATCACCTGCTAGAGTTCGAGGAAATGTGTTCGTGCTTGAGCATCTCAGGCATGACATAGGAAACACTAAGGTGGAAACTGTTTCCCTTCTATCTTTCAGAGAAGGCGAAGCAATGGTACACACACGCCGTAGAAAGTACGAATGGGGATTGGGATGAACTTAAGGACAAGTTTTACCTTGCATTCTTCCCTATGTCCCGTATCGACTCTCTACCAAGGGCGATCCTTGACTTTGAGCAGTATGAGAAGGAGTCTATAGGTGCAGCCTGGGCTAGATTTTTAGCATTAAGACACGTCGGCCTAGACTTGTCTTTATCCGACAGCATATTGCTGTGACTCTTTTGTTTGGGTATCGACATGCATGCTGACCTATGCCTAGACTCGACTACCGGAGGCCGGTTTACACACAAACCCATGACGGAACAAGTGAAATTCCTTGAAAACTTCCTAGAAAGTTATAGTTCCCCCATCAAGAGAAATAGAATCCTCCAGGCAAAAGTCATGTCGAGCGTTGAGGAGGCCTCATCAGTCGAATCTAGACCCGTACCATCCCTAGATTCGACTAATGAGCCCTCACCCAAACCACGAACACCAAAGGAAAGAGTGATTTATCCTTCGGAGTTCCCTATCGAATTCGGGGATTTCGGCAATACCTCAAAATATTTTGGGCATGAAAAACTTGCATGTGCTTCGGAGGAAGTTTCCCCTAAAATAGAGCCATCAAAGGAATGGTTGTTAGAAGTAAAATGTTCTTTCGAAGCAATTCAGATTCTTTCACCTTCCATGACCATACCTTGTTCATTAAGGGGGACAAACATAGAAGCCCTACACAACCCCATAGTCGGGACTAGCATCATGTCAGAATTTCTGGCGAAAAATCCTTTGGGCAACATGCAGCTAATCCCGACCAACAAACTTTTCAAAAAGTCCCTCAGGACTCATCTTTGAGTGTAGTGGGATTGTCAAGGACGTGCAAATTGTAATTAATGAAACCAAGGTTCACTTAGATTTCCACATCTTTGCCATCCTCGACTTTGAACTTCTTATAGGCTACCCCTTTGAAATTTTTTTCCAAAAGAAACCTCCCCATGGGAGCCTTAGCAAAGAGTTTGGGAAATTTGCTTCCGCCACTCACTTAGATAACCCCATGGCGGAGCATTATCCCAACCATAACCCGTCCAAGGAGGTAAAGTTCGTAACCCCGTTTGTTTCACCGTTACCCTCGCTCGAACACAAGCAATGTCCCTTTGGACATCCAAACGTTGTTTTAAAAAATGGTCTACAATCAACCAATGTATTTCTTGAGAATAAAAATTTATGTACCATAGACATCTTGTTTAGTCCCACATGCCCCTACGAGGATCACAACCATCTCTCGATCCTCATTCTCAAACTTCTCAAGAGGATAGTTGTTGATGCCTTCGTTTATCATAAATATTGTAAATCCCATAGTTGCATCATGACACTAACCTTGCAGCTTGAACGAAAATGCTCAATACTTTGTGGTGAAGTTAGGAACACCACCACCAATGATAGCTGCAAGATGAAGTTCCCAAGGTCAAGCTTATGACCATAAATAAAGCACAACTGAGAGATACTCAGGATTATCATAAAAGGAAAAAGGGGGTTATTATGAAAAAAACAAGTGTCCTATTAACAAAAAGCAAGAACATGTTATCAAGTTAGTATGCACCTTCGGGTATTCTTGTGTGTTAACCCTTTCAGGTTAAGATCAAGAAGAACAGGGGCATACAATGCCTGAAAATGTGAGAGCTACATCGACTACATGCCTTGATGATCTTTGGTAAGAAGACCCTAATCCTGCACACTTGACTTTCACACAAAAGTCCAAGTGTGGGGGAGGATGGTGAGAGTCTCATCACAAGTTCCATTCACACCAAAGACCATCTTGGTTAAAAAGAAAAGAAAATGATGTCAGCTCTACCTTGCTAAAAAAAGAAAGTAAAAAAAGTGTGAAATATATATATATATATGATAAAAAAAAGAGAGAAGAGAAGAAGAGAGAAAGAGAGAGGAGGACTATCCTCTTTCATACCTTTGCTGCTTACCACTAAGGCCCATGGCCCATACACACTAACCGTGTGTACGGTCTAGCCTTGTTGCTCGTCTGAGCTGGACTTCACGCAATCAAACCACTGTTGCAATAACCTCAAAGTTTCCATCATCATATGCTGCCGGTAAGAACGCTTAGATATGTAAAGGTAAATAAAAAATAAAAAAATACTCACCAACTCCCTGACTCATATTTGTCTCCATAAGAATTAACTTGCTCATACAAATTCACGCTTCCCTTGTTTATGAGGTATGCTCTAGTTTGGGTATATCCTGCAGGGTACATCCATAGGTCTTTTTAAATTAAGCATGGTGCTTAGGTTAAAATGACCTTCTTTGATTAAAATTTGGACGTGGTGTTTAATTTTGATTAATGATCTTTGAGTAATAACTTTCATAAACGATGGAAGTAGTCTAAAATGGAGATGAATCAAGGCTATGATTATTTTGCAAACTTCGCTTTAGCCTTGTTTGAGCTATGTTAAAAAGGTGAAAGTTGCGTGAACAAAAAAATTGCTATAGTAATAATAATAATAAAATAATAATAATAATAAAATGATTTAGTCTCCCCGATGTTCAAACCGGCGGAGCCCTTGTTTGTTTCCACATTTGTTTCTTTTTTTAAAATAAATAGGTACAAGAATAAGTGTGGAGGAGATCTCTCATGCACAATGAACATACATTCGAGATCTCCCACCAATAAGTTGCACAACATCGAATGATCCGACATGCAGAAGGATGAACAGAGGGCTCCAGAGAAGGTTGGTTGAACATTTGGTTTAGCCAAGCCACCTCTAACTTAGCTCCTTCTTAAATGATGGTTTGTGCAACACAACTCTCAACTCCCTACAATCTTGAGTTTAAAACAAACATAATTCTAATCACTAAAACTAAACTCAAATCACCCCTATTATCTCCTCCTAATGAACAATGCCCCTATGCACCACACTTTATCTAAAAAAATAAAAAGTGACATGTTCATAACATGTTTAAGATAGAAGCTTGCATAAAGTTTGTTCCATACACTTATGCTTGTTGAAAAATATTCTAATAGGACAATCATGTTGACTAAATTGTTGTGAAATGTGATATAGTTCTGACTTAGAAATCTTACCATTTCTATTCAAAGTATTTGGAAAATTTGTTTTGATAAAAATATTATAAAACCATAGTATCACATACTCCTCAATTGGTGAGCAACTCCTATCAAAGCAAAATATAATATCTTGCAAGTTTCAAGCCTTCCACATATGTTACTTGTTATTGTGTTGAGTTTGGTCAAGTCTTGTTGATCCTTGTTGAGAGATTTATCATGCTCCCAAGATCAAGATCACGTACACTCAACATACACATGCTGCTCCTACACTCGGAGTACGTAAAAATATGCTTCCATCCACCGGAAACTCTGCTCCTACATTAGGAGTAGACACAAAAACAATGTTAGTTAGAGAAATACTCCATGCTCTAAAAAGATAATAATCTCTCTCTAAATATGTGGTTTAGAAGAGACATGGGCTATGAAAAAGTTAAAAAAATATGGACACATAAAGGTCCAAATACAAAAGAAAGAGAAAAATAAAAAATAAAAAATGATGAGCACATGAAGGCTCATGTATTGAAAAAAAAGAGAAGAAAGATAGCCATGTTTCAAAATAATAAGTTATATAGAGAGATCATATCTACAAAAGTAGTATAATTTTAGTTTTTCTTTTTCCACACACATGCACATCTTGATCTAAGAGTATGACACTTCTCTCCTTGGATCCTCGATTTGACTTTACAACATATGCAATATAAGTATGCTAAATTGTTTACCTCTACTTAAAGCTCCACATAAATCTTTTTAGAAGTAGGAGAAAACAAAAGAAGGCAAAACATTGACATGCCTGGGTAAGGATTGATACACCATTGAGTGATTTGAGAGTACCATTAGTAGAGTATAAAGTGAACTATATTTTTTCTTGAGAAAAACCTCCAAAACCTCTAAGTTACTAAGATGAAAAATTGGGAAGATGACTTTGTTTCGAGAACTGTTCCGCTTTTCAACAATCCAAGAAAGCATGTTAGCTAACGCCACATAGTCCACTTGTATAAAGAATGTGTTGAAATAACTTTCATATAAGCCATATATCTTATGATGTTATGCTCATGATTACCTTTATCTCTAAGGTTTGCTCGAGGACGAGCAAAGGAGTAAGTGTGGGGGAGCTTGTTGGCGGTCCCTAACGACCAAATCCGACCACCAATAAAGACATAAAAAGAAGAGAAATTAACAAACTTAAATACATATGCATTAACACTGATAAGTTCTACATGTATTTGGAAGATTATTATTTTTGTTGGTCACAAACACAAATGCATCGAAAGGCGCTTTCCGATGCTGAATTGCGCAAAGGAATGCAAAGACGCCTACCAGTACTGCTGCTCTCGCCGTCGTAGAGCAGCTCGGCCTGCGGCGGGCGGCGCTTCTTGTGCGCGTCCCAGCGATCGGCGGACGACCCACTACAGATCGGCCACTTGCTGCTGCTTGCGAGGGAAGACGTGGCTGATGAAGACGACGACGACGAAGCTGGGCTCACCGCCTTCTTGTGCGCGTCCCACCTCTCCACGGAGTCGGCCCGGCCGGGCTTGGGCGGCGGCGAGCTCGCGCTCTTGCGCGGGGATCCATGGCCGGCGCTACTCCTGACGCTGTCGGCCGAACGAGGGCCTGATGATGATGAGGCTGGGGACGCTAGGCAGGCCGGCTTGGCCTTGTGCGCGTCCCACCTCTCGTCACAGTAGGCGCGGCTGGGCTTGGCGGGCGCCGGCTTTGGGAGGATGGCAGCGACGCACGGCGTCGGGAGCAGCGGCAGCATCTTCCACTTGGGCGGGGTCGGGAGCAGCGCCGGGAGAGCTGCGTGTGCCACCTTGAGGTGCACGCGGGCAACAGGGATCGCCATGGATCGAAGACGGAGACGAGCACCCCACACTCCAGAAGGCAGAAGCGCCGCCGCCGCCCAGGTGAGGCGAGGAGATGGAACAGAGAGGCGACGATCGATGAGATGATTTCCGGTGGCAGCAGCAGAAACCAGAAATATATAGGCACCAGGAACCAGGACGCCTGGCGCGTCAGTCCAATCCTCAAGTTTTCGTCAGGGGTGAATCGGTGTCGGAGTATCCGGAATTCATTCGGGACGAGACACGTGGGGGCCACGCCATTTTCTCCCAATCGGATTCAGAGCTTTCTCCATTGACGCTCTGACGGCTCTGTCCCAGTGCACCGTAGCAAACCCCCTTGCTTTTGCGGTGGAGAAGGCGGCCACCGGCGACGACGACGACGGCCGTCGCTCTCGCGCCAGCTTTTCCTTCGCTGTCACGCCTGTTTCAAAATTTGATGCGGTAGATTTTTATTTTGTTATACTCCCACTGTCCGTCTATGAATACAACAAATTCTCAGAGTTGTTAAGTCAAGTCAAACTTTTTATGTTTGACTAATTTTTTATAAAAAAATATAAATATTTGAGACACCAAATTATTATGTTATATGAAAGTTTACTACTCCCTCCATCCCAAATTATAAGTTTATTCTAACTTTCTTGAGAGTCAAAGCCTCTCAAGTTTGATCAAATTTATATAATAAAATAATAACATTTATGATATAAATAGGTATCATTAGTTTTTTCATTGATCATATTTTCATAATATACTTATTTGATGTCATAAATCTTTGTAATTATTTCTATAATTTTAGTCAAATTTAAGATGTTTTGACTCTCCAATAAAGTTAGAATGGCTTATAATTTGGAATGGAGCGAGTATATATCTAATAATACTAATTTTGTGTTATAAACCTTGGCACTCTTTTCTATAAAATCGGTTAGACATAAAAAAAAGTTTGACTTGCGAGATAAGATAATTCTAGAAATTGATTTATTCAAGGACGAAGGGAGTATATTTAGTCTATTTTCTTGTACTAAATCGCTTTTCTAGGCAAACACACGAACTTCTCTAGATTCAGTAATCACTGGCGGGTCTAAACCCACCTTCACCGCTGTAATTAAGCACAACAAAGGACAATTGGTAGTGATTGGCTCGTCTATCTCTACCGGGTCGTTTAAGACCCGACAGTGAATCAAAGATACCACTGTCAGTTCAAAGATACCAAACAAAAATAGAACAAGGATCATTGTTGGGTCTAACTTCTATCTGACAGTGATATTGTTTGGTGTTATTGGTGGTTCAATGGCTTCAACCGACATTGATCTTCATCTTTCTACTTGTTATATATTTTATTATCATATTTAAATATAGATTGTTGTCTAATATTTTACATTTGATATTACTAATATATCACATATGTTTCGCTGCCATTTCTCACATAATAATACATCATAATTAGAAAATCATAGAGTTAAATGCATGAGGGCCCCCTGAACTTGTTAAGCGATGCCACTTAGTCTATAAAACTTAGAAAATGCATTTTGAGGCCCATAAACTTGTTAAGTGGTGCACTACAATAAGTCGATATATATAGTCCAGAAATGAACATGCGGTGTACCATTTTACAAGTTTAGGGATGTACAATGCACCACTTAACAAGTTTAGTCACCCAAAAATACATTTTCGAAGTTCATGAACCTAAATAGTACCCGTTAACAAGTTTAGAAACCGCTGATGTATTTAACTCAAAATCATATGTACATAGTTTATGGGTAGAGATGAAGTCATTACAAACAAAAGTCTCATTACTACAAAATAAGTGGAGCATACCCACCACTACTGGCTATTATATGCCATGATATAGTCCTTGTAGTGAACGTCCCAAATTTTGTAACTGAGCACATCATTTAAGTATATCAAACATGATTTGGCACCCTCTCTTTTGCTTCACAGGTCTGAGCAGATGGTCTTCCAAAGATTGAATAAACTGGAGGCGTTGCGAAAATACACTAGGACCCAAAGCAAAATGCAAATGCCCCTGCAATCCGTGTAAGGTGGATCTTGAACCTGCATAGTGCCAGCGGTAATCAAGTTGCTCCACTGCTTGACTTAAAATGACATGGAAGCTATACGCAGTGTGTGTCGATTCATGATACGGAACCTGTAAGCTGTGGCTCCAAATAGAATATGATAACCATGAATGGAACTATACACACACATACACATATCATTTTCATTGTCCTCAGCAATTCATTCACTAATTGCTGTAACATCTCGGTTGTCCTCATGTAAAACTTGTAGTCGAACAGGTGAGAAGTCATTAATATAGTACCCATTGGCCGTAAGCGCCTTAATACATGCTTTCATAACATTTTTCTCAACAATTCTTTGATAGGGTGCGCTCCTTCCCGTTACAGATTTATATGACCTCCCAAGGCTACCCTCTGTAGCACCAATGATGGAAATTGATATGACACTGAAATGACTCTTCATCGTGAAAGTTGGTGTCACATTATTAATTTGATGTACTTTGAGAAACCATAGTGCATCTCAAAGCCGGACTCAATTTTCTATTGTAAACTTTATAAGTATGTTAGCATATAATAAAGTCTAAAAAACATAAATTAAGTGGAAGATAAACTCCTATAATACTTAATTATTAGCGTTATGGTGCTATATGCCATCAGGTTATGTGTGCTATGTTGTCTAAATCCTATCTGTTATCTAGATATTAGTATGAACAATCACGTAGATCCTTTTGGTATGTCTTGATGCCCGATGGGATTGATGGACACATGCGTTTGATGAAACGGCAACATAGATATTGTTTATAACAGATAGATTAAGATTCTATTTGGAACTATAAAACTAACAGCTAATTCTTGTTAGTTCCTATTTGCCAACTAACTGGCTAACAACAAGTTTTTGACTTGGTTACCATCTTTTAGTCTGCCTATTGCCTATTGTTAGTTCTCTATAGATCCGAACAAAGTTTAAATACTTGAAAAAATTTCTTGTATGATATTATGAAACTCAATTATTACTCCTATGGTCTTAGAAACTTCATACTTCGATTCTCTATTTGATACTGCCTCCAAATTTCAGTCCCTATGTGACACAACTGTTAGTTCTCCATGCTAATACTATTAACTGACACGTGAAATGACAAAATACTCCCGATGTAAGAAAATGCACTTGTGTCATGTATAACACTATTCCCAGCAAATACATATGTCTTACTGGGCCTTAATTGACACTATTCCCAGAAAATGCACTTGTGTCTGTGTTTAATTTGGGTATTTTGGTGAAAATACCAAATAATTATGCTTGCTGGTGATGGTTTTTTAAGGAGACATCCTTTTATTAAATTTCATTCACATTATATAAATGGATTTATGTTTACTAGCATGTGTTATTTAAGCATCCTTTTCTCAAATTTCGTCCACATAACTCAATTTATGCTTGTCGGTACACGTTATTTAAGCATTTTTTTTATTAAATTTGATCCACATTAAATAAATCAAAACTAAATCACAAATAAGATTCTCAAATCAGCAAGCATCTTATGTATGATTTTGTTTTGATTTATACAATGTGGGTGAAATTTAATAAATAGACGCTTAAATAACGTGTAGTATAAATTGATTTATATAATGCGGATGAATTAATAAAAGGATACTTATTAAATAACACATACCACCAAGCATAATTATTCTATATAATGTGAATGAAATTTAATAAATTGATACTTAAATAACGCATATCAATAAGCATAAATTAATTTATATAATATAGATGAAGTTTAATAAATGTTTAGTATTTTCATCAAGATGCCCCAATTAAGCACCGCGATAGGGTCTAAATAAGGCATATTTGCATACACAAAATAGTTTCATTTAGGGCATAAGTGCATTTTAGTACATCCATAATATTTGGATCATTTCTTGTGTGAGTTAACGGTGTTAGCCTGGGACCTAACGGTAGTGTCATAGGGAATAACACTACTACAATATTCTTTTTTTATAGGACTACAATATTCTTTTTGGAGGCAGGCGTTTTAGTTTTTTTCGAGGTGGGCAAAGCAACCGCCTCTGTCAAAAGGTCTAAGTTAATACAGATTAACCGAGACAGTTAACAGAGGCGACCCATTAACCAAGGCGGGTGCCTGCCCGCCTCGGTTAATATTTTCTAGAAAACCCAAAAACCAAAATACTTGCAACTTTGGAGAGTCAAACCCACAACCTACTATTCAACAACAACACCTCTCGACCACTACACCACACACTCATTTATGATTATATATAATATGCTATCTTTTTATACATATTTTATAATCTTATATTAGATATTTTTGACTATTAAATGAACTCTAATGAAAAAACTTTTAACTACAAAGTTTAAATCTTGTCAAGTACTACAACTTTGATATATGATGTATCTCCATCAGAGATAGTTAAAAAAATCAAAAAATTGAGTCTCAAAACATGTGCATTTCAAACACATATTTGAGATTCTAGATGACTTTAAAATTAAATCAAGAACTTGTCAATATCAAACATGTAGATTAGGTCAGCCACTAGAACTTCGTATTAAATATGTGAACATTGGAGATCGTTTAGGAATCCTAAATTTTAAATTTCAAAATCTATAACCTTCGAACAAATATTTTGGACTAAACATTTTCAAACTAAAAACTTTTCAACTGCAAAGTTGTAGACTCTATTTTGAACTATAACTTTTGTATAGACCATGTCAACATCCGAGATCATATGGTAATTTTAAATTTCAAAATATGTGCACTTCCAATAATATTTTGGGACTCTAAACAATTTCAATTCAAAAAAAAATTCGACACAAAGTTGTAGATCTCGTCGAGAGCTACAATTCTGATAGAAAGTTTATTTTCATTCGAGTTCATATGAAAAAGTAATAAATTATTTTTTGTTGTAATCATTAACCAAGGTGAACATCTTAATACACCCAGCGAACGCTTAGAACGACCACCTCTGAAAATTATTGATTAATGGAGGCAGACGTTTTAAGTTGCCCGCCTTGGCTAATGGATTAACGGAGACGGTGGCCTTATGGTGAACACCGTTAATCTAGCATTAATGAGGTGGACGCCTAATGCTGCCTGTCTCCGTTATTCCTTAACTGAGGCGAGCGCTCGGCCGGTGGCCCTGTCACCAATTAACGGAGACGGCCGCCTAGCCCGCCCGCCTTGGATAATAAAATGGTATCATCTCGCATAATCTTTTCTGTAGTAGTGTAAAATTTGGAGACGTTTTCAAATAGTGAAGGCCGAAATTTTCAGGGACATATAAGGAATGAGAGAGTTTCAGTGTCATTAAAAGAATTTTCTCAAATACTTATATATTTAATACAGCTAACCTAATAGTCAAACTAATAGCTAACGTATTTAGTATATAATATCCCCATCTCCTAAAAGTATATACAGTTAATGTCCTACCACCCTCTGCCTCAAATTATAAGTCGTTTTGAATATTTTTAGGTACATAGCTTTTGCAATCCATTTAGATATATGATATGTCTATATACATAATAAAAGTTATATATCTACAAAATGCAAAACGACATATAAATCCAAACGGAGGAAGTATTATTGTTAGTGTAGCCTTTTATTCTTTTTCTCTAACAGATTAACAAAAACCTTTTAAATACATAGGAGAGAAGGGACGAATGTCCTATATCTGGAGATGTGTAATCTGCTGGAGCAATTTTATACAACAGTTTTTTGTATTAAGAATAAATTAAATAATCTTTTGGAGATATTTCAAGTTAACTTTATTAGAAATGCTACTTGCAGGGCATCCATCCGTTTGGACATCCCTTCGTGGGTCTACATACCAACCCAATAGACTTCTGCTCTGCGTCTGTCCATTTTTTTTATTACGGTATCCACGTTCATCTCTTTTGTTGCGCCGGTTGGATAAAGAAAGGAGAAGGAGATGAGAGACCTGCTCCACTCTACTCCGCGCATCGATGGTCACCCCGTCGGCTCTTGCTCCGTCAGTTACCCCGCTGCTCCTGCTCTGCGGCCCGCTCCGCCGTCGACGGTCATCCGGCGCTGCTCCTTTTCCTGCTCCACAGCGCCGTCCTCGCTGCTTTCTGCCGCTGTTTCTGCTCTGCGGCCCGCTTCGCCTGACGGCGCGAGCACTGCTGCGCCCACTTCCTCGGCCGCAAGCTAGCCACTAAGGCCGCCGTGCAAGGAGAAGTGTCGGGCCCTGGTGCGGAAGCTCTCCGGCCTTACTTCCTGCTACGGCTGCGGCGTCCCGATGTAGATGGTGGAGGAGGTCGCACCGAGATACGATGCATGTTGCAAGCGTACATTTCAAATGTTTTAGATGTTTTAGAGGTATGTTGCAAGTGTTTCATAAGGATGTTGCAAAAGTAGATCAAGATGTTGCAGATGTCGCAAGACATATGTTTCAAGTGTATGTTCTAAATATTTCATCTATTTTAGACGTATATTGCAAAACTAGATCGAGATATTGCATATATATGCAAGTGTTTCAGGTGTTTCAAACCTATGTTATAAATATTTTATCTTTATGTTTGCAATGGCTACACATGTGTTTTTAAGTTTTTAGCGTTTCAAACATACGTTGCAAGTGTTTTAGCTTATTTTCGAATGTATGTTGCAAATGTTTTATTGTGTATCGCTCATATTGCAATGCTGGCGTGAAAGCGATCACATGGCGTCGTCGTAGGCGCAACCCGTGTGGGCACACAAAATGCGAGCTCGAGCAACGTCTTTGGCTGGGCGTGAAAGCAGTCTGTAGTGGCCGCGTGCGACCATAGGCGCCTTCTTGATTTATTGTTAGCTGACGTGGCATAGGCAATCCAGCGTTACTCCGACGAACACGAGACTTTGGCATTTCACCCATCAATGAAAACTGGTTTCGCACTTTTACCATCCCGCAAAATGGTTTCGCTAGTTTGCCATTATAAAACATGTGCAACCCGTCAGAATGCCATTGGGTGACTTTAGATTAAAAAAAATGAAAAACGAAGTTTTCTTCCACTTCTACACCTGCCCTGCTTTCTCCTTATATGTCACCGTTCCGCGTTCGTGGTCAAAATGGATTGACGCAGCAGGTGACACCGTGCGGCACCTCCTCGGCGATGGCATCTTGGCGCCGACGCCAAGGTGTGGAGGAGGCGGCGCAAAGGCGGCCAGCCTCGAGTTCCACTCGACCGAAGTTTCATGGCAGCTCACGGTCGGCTCGCTTTCGTCAAGCTCGTGCACCACCGCTGCTTCCTCCGTCTTGGCCGACGCGGATGCGTGACAAAGATCGACCCGCTTCCCTCGTCATGCTATGTGGCCGTCGCGCTCGGCTTTTCTTCCGGCGGGGGAAGCGGCGGCGTCACACACCTGAACCTCAGTGCGGGGCTTGCCGAAGTCGAGCCCACGATGGTGCTACTACGTGCGTGGGAGCACATCTGTCTTTGCGAACCTTTGCTCCAACTCCGATCCACGACGGCGTGGCCATCGCGTGCCCGATGTGCCGTGGCGTCGTCGGCACATGGCTCGTCAAGGCCACCCCTCGCTAATGGCCCTCGGTCTCACCATGCCTGTTCATGACCGAAGTCGATTGGCGAGCCCACGAATAGCCTCGCCGAGGCTAGGTAAATCCCACCTCGCGACTCTTGTTGTTGTGCTCGCCACAAGACAGAAGAAGTAGCCTCACGAGCCTAGCGGCCCCGAGGTCCCTCTGCTGCACCACCATGACTTCATTGGTGGGAACACGACTTTGCATGGCGAAGGCGAAGCGGCGGCGCCATGCCCATGGGCGCGGGCGTCGGCGGGAGGCTTTCGCGGCGCTACTGTGGGTAAGTGCGCCGTCGAGGCCACGCCGGACGTGTCGTGGCGAGGAACAGGGGAGGCGAGTGGAGCATGCTCGTGGCGGCGGGCCGAGGAGACAGCGAGAGGGCGAGGCCGCGGCTAAGGTTCCTAGCGAGGTGCACCTGTCCGGCCGTGGATTGACGACGGCCGTATGACGTGGCGTGTGGGATCGGGATGCGTGGCTCGGAACATTCAAGAAGGGGAGCTGGTCACGCGCGTCTGCGTCTGCTAAGGCTGTCGGCGCGCGAGCGCGTCCGGCGTCCGTGGCGAGCGGCGTGGCGTCGTGGCCTTCCGCCGCCGTGGAAGCAGCCGCGACCTCCTCTGTTCGGCGCGAAAAGCAGGGAGCGGTTCGCATCGTTGAAAGGAGACAGCCGCGTTCGACGGAAGGAAACGGAGAGGTGGCAGGCCTTAGCTAGCGGCGTGGTGGCAGGCCTGTGCCTCGCTTGATCCGTTTCTGCTCCCTCGGTTCTGTTCGTCCATGTGCTCTCACACGAAAGAAGAAGGAAAGAAGGGGTAAATGTGGAAGAAAACTTTGTTTTTCATTTTTTTGAGATCTAAAGTCACCAAATGACATTCCGGTGGGTTGCACATATTTCATAATGATAGACTAGTGAAACTATTTTACGAGATGGTAAAAGTGTGAAACCAGTTTCGACGATGGGTGAAATGCCAAAGTCTCGACGAACACTTTGTGGTCCAACTCTCAATTCCCAAATTCCCCATCCCCTGCGCTCCTGCCTGCCATTGGCCGCGCCCCGACCTACAAGTCGCCGCCGTCCCATTTCTCCCGTCAAACCCCGCGGCGGCCCCTTCCACCGCTAGCTCCACCGCGACGGATCCCCTTCCCCTTGTCCAGCGGAGCTGCTCGTTGGCCGAGGAGACGCCGTCGCCCTTACTTATTCGCTCTTCTGCCGTCCCCTTCTCCGCCGTCCACTCCCCCCGTCGGCTGCCGACTGGGCCTTCCAACGAGCGAACTGAGGTGAGCTTGTCACGTCTCCTTCATTCCCATGGTTCTCCTCTGGCGTCTCAGTGCTGTCTCCTGTCGCAGCACCGGCGCCCGGCACCTGTTCAACGCAATGCCTCCGAGGCGCGTGGGAGCGGCTGCAGCGAGGGGCGAGGACTGCATCGGCGCCCTCCCGGACGACCTCCTCCTCCACGTTCTCTCCTTCCTTCCTGCGCATGATGCCGTGCGCACGTGCGTGCTCTCCCGCCGCTGGCGCCAGGTCTGGAAGTCCTTGCGCGTTCTGCGCTTCACCAAGCCCCAGAGCTGGGGAAGCGCGACCAAGTTCAATAGGTTTGCCAACAGCGTGCTGCTCTTCCGCAGCCGGGCACCTCTGGAAGAGCTCACGTTTGAGACCTACATGTACGATGCTATAAACCCTCTCTTAGATAAAGACCAAAAGAATGAACGGGTTAAATACGCCCAGAGGTGGATCATGTACGCCTTAAGGCACAGTGTGCGGGTGCTCAGAGTCCTTGTGAACTCAAGGCTCAGCAGACCTCAGCTGCGGCCCATACCCCTGCTGCGACTCAGTGAGCCCCTCATCTCCCAGCACTTGATGACCTTGGAGCTTAAATCTGTAGTGTTGACTAATAACTCTATGGATTTCTCGAGCTGCCCTGCCTTAAAGAATCTTAAAATAAGGGATTCCAAAATTTGGGTTCACAAGATATCTTCCCAATCACTAAGTCGTCTAAGTGTCAAGAATTGTGAGTTTTCTGGTGATATATGCACTCAGATTTTGGCCCCAAATCTATCATCACTTCTACTGGACGTGCGTTCTGGCAGGCTTCCATACTTTCCAAGTGCAGTGTTGCTAGTGAAAGCATATATCAGACTTGATCAGTACTGTAGGGATTGCTGTTGGCACAGCAACTTTGAACATTGTGCTCATGATACATGTGTTGATTGCTATGGTAATAATGACAGGAGTGCCAAGTGTGTGCTTCTTAGAGGCTTGTGCAATGCTAAAAATTTGGAGCTGTCTGTTCAATTTTCAGTCTACATTCAGAATCGTGCAGCGGTATGTTTGAATATACTTGTACCTTATCTCCTAGCTGTTAAGGGTTATTGGCACTTGTATGCAGCATGTTTGTCTTCCATCACATTTTCATAAACCTAAAACTGAGACAAGATTCTTTTGTTTATTACCACCAATTGTCCTTCATAAGCTATCACATTCAAGTGATGTTGTACTTTATCATATCGCTAGTTTATATGTGTTTGGGCATAATATTTCAATTTTATGTACTATCTCGATCTCCTAAGTTGAATTCACCTATCTAACTTTTTTTCTTACACTACCCAGGCCATTTTCAAGCGAGATATGAAATTGTGCCCCATATTTAGCAACTTAAAGACTTTGGTGCTCAATGGGTGGGCTGTGGCCTGTGAACTCGATGCACTAATTTGTTTCCTCCAGCATGCGCCGATCCTAGAGAAGATCACTCTTCAACATAATGTATAAGCTCACTCTTCAATTTTTTATGACACATATGCATCTAATGTTGGTTGATATCTTTCTGAAGCAGTGTTGCATGACTGCTTGGTCTAAAATACTACTTTGATCTGCTACAGGGGCTTAACTATAATGTGGAAATGAGAGAAAGTTGTAGTTCAATTGAAAAAATTGCTCTGCCTGAGCACCTTAAATTAGTTGAAGTCAGATGCCAAAAGATTGCTGAAAATGTTCACAAATTTGTGGATATCTTGAATGCCTATGGCATAACTTCTGATATAATCAATATCGTGGAGATGGATGGCTGATCCAAATGTAAGTTAGATATTGAAATTCAGAATGCTTATGTGTTACTAATTACTATATCTCCTACTTATCTTACAGAAAGCAGTGAAATGATTGTGTAAGTTGAAAATGAGAACGTTGAACTCCCTGCAAATGTTCGTGTTTCTTTGATGCTAAAACCAAAAATTTCTACTCTAAACATTTCTCTAAGCTTAAAAATGCATCATAGACTATACAGTGAAGTGGTAAATGTTCAATCTCACTCTCGTGTTGCCTAGCTATGTAGTTTTTAGTTACTGTCTGTTGCGCTCAATCTTTTATATTTGCTCTTCTGGTTCCCATTAACTGCCCGGCTATTGCAATAAGTGGTGTCCTTATTTTAGTGTCCAGTTTAGCATGCACTCTTCTCCCTGCTTGCTGGAACGCTGATTGCATATATTGCCCACTTCTTCTGCTGCTTATCAGTTCCTTCTAGAATTGTGGACTTCTGGGTTCGATTTGTTTTGTGGCATGCTGCTTTTACTCACTAGATGCTTTACACTCTCCATGGTGTTTGTTCCGATTAACTATTTTAGTACTGCTTTGAGGTACTATTGTTTTGTTCATCTGATGGCGGCGATATTTGCCACTAAAAAAATCTTCACCATTCACTAATTCTAGAGATCAGCATATCTTCATTAGATGCATGGTTTCTGTAAACAGGTTTCCATTAAACAGTAAGTTTGAGACACTTTTGTTTTGGTAGATGTGAATCAGGGGAAATGTACAAATGGTGTGATATCCACACAGGTCTGCTTATGAAACATAAAATTTGTTCATGTTCTAGTTAATTAAAGGAAAGTTGCATGTTGGCCTAGGTGAAAGTGCCAGATAGGAATGGTATCTAAATCAAGAGGCCTTCCAGTTAAGCCTAATTCGAGGGCCCTCCAATAAAGAAAAGGACAAGTCGGAACCAAAAAAAATTCCTCCAATGGAATAAATGAGAGGTGATGAGGGAAGTAAGAATGGAATCAAGGAAGTAAGAATTGAAATAGGGATGTACACGAATCAAACTTCTAAAATCCACACCCGCGGCGCTCCGATGACTACCAACTCCGGTTCTGGGTTGGGGAGGGATCTTTGGCTTCTGGGTCTAGAGGGATTCCTAGGGAGGCACACGGATTGACCGTGGTGGTGGAGTGTGTGTCGAACGGCGGGTGGTGGCTCTTGCGGTGATGGGCTGACGGCGCTGCCAAAGTCAGGCCGGAGGTGGTGGCAGCGAGGGCATTGATGATGAGGCTTCGCATGCTGTAGTTGCTCGTTGTCGCCAAAACCAATGGGTGGCAGCAGCCATGGGGCCTGGGGCACTAGGACAGGACAGCGAGCGGGGAGGGATGTCGATGCCAGCAAGACAAAGAAATAAGGTGCTGGTGCGGGAGCGGGGAGGATATTTTCTTTCTTTTTTACAGTGGTGGGCTCTCGACCTATCCTTAGCTGGAGAGTGGTTCTGCTGTAGTCGCTTCCTTTAGGAATTATAGCAAAGTTGTTCCTATCAATGATCCAAATTTCACTTTACAAAAAGGCATTTATCCTGCAATCATTATTGGCCCGAAAACTTTATCTACTGGTATTCTGCGTGATGATTGTCTTTTCTTCAATTTAAATGCAAAAACAAAATTGATTGTGTAATCATATGGCTAGTCCCTGCTCAGAGTCCACACGTTCGATGTGTCCAATGCAAATTCCTTTCTCAAAGAAATTGAATGTTTCTCTTTATATCCTATCAAACCTATCAGTATTTATTATTCCTTTTCGTGTTTGTACAGGCATCAGTTTGAAGAGGCTAAAGGGTGATCTTGCTGTTGATGGATCAACCAGTTGTTAACCTCCAGGGAATCGATGAGATGTGTCTTCTTTGTTGAACTGAAAAATGGCTGCCACAACGGAAAGGGAATAGACTTCCAACTGTATGACTTCAGTGTGACCTGCGCAGCTTGGACAGTGACAGTGTGGGGTTTTAATTTCTAGGATAATTGGATAAATATTTTGGGTTCCGTGGAAGGGATTTCCTGATATAAAACACTCTTTTGAGTGTCTTTTTTTCAGAAAAATGAGAGATCAGTTTTTAGAACTCAAAAAACGTGGGAGGGAGAGAGGAGCTGTTTTGAAGATGAGTTTTAAGTAATATTATTTATAGATGCTCTACTATTGTTGCGCCATAGTAACTGAAGTGGAGCATGGGCTAAGTTTGTATGACATGTGGATTTTACATTTGATGATTTCACAAAAGCCCATTTTGGCAATAATTGATGTAGATCACAAATCAATTTATCATCTAAAATTTTGTCGGATGTTTATTGGATTAGGAGGAGATGATGATTTTTTTCTCCCGTTGCATGATACGGTATATATTTTGCAAGCTAATAGCAAAGACGTGGCTGTAAACATGGGCTAGGTCCAATCCCAAACTATAGTTAATACCTTATATTTATATGCTATTAACATCTATCACATTGAAGATGTAAGTTATAAAAATATATTTCATAATGTATGCAGATGTTAATTTGATGTTATAACTATTATTCTTCTTTTCTAAAATTTTGATCAAAGTTAACATAGTTTGACTTATGATAAACTTCGATTCCTTATATTTACATGCTATTACTGAGACGTCAAATAAAACTGGCTGGTTAAAAAACTAGTAATTAGTAAAAAACAATCAATGCTTGTGAAATTTACTGTTAGGCAGAAGAGGAATTCCACCCGTGGACATGTTGTTAGGCAGAAGAAAAAACGTCATAAACTAGTTGATTTATTGACATTTTGACCTGATGTCATGCCATAAACGTCATAAACCAGCACATTTCTCGTAGTATATTCTAGCAACCGAAAGTCCATCTACGTCCAACAACGGAAAGCGCAAGCTGAAGATATTCCGAGATCACTATTCAGTTTCAGCCCTCATGACCCAGACCGAGGTGGTGCGCAAGAGGAGGTGATATGGAAGGAACTAGAGGAGGCATCAATGGCGCTCGAGGAGGTGATGAACAATCGTAAACATGTGTGTGCTGCACGTGCATGGACACTAGTTATATATAAGTTCTTTCTATTAGACATGTATATGTGTGTTGTACACAATGTCTTGTAGCACAAGATGTGCACAACACTTATAAATGACTAATACTTTCTTTGTGTATTTTACTTTGGGTAGACATAATATTCATGTACCACCATCTATCATTATCCATTAGACATTTGTTTTCTACTGTAATCGGAACTAATAAACTTTTTTGTTGTGCAGACACCTAGTGTTCATAGTTTCTACCAAAATTGCTTCTTGAAGAGGTGGATTCTCGATGAAAACGAACATGTGGGAAATGTCATGCACATATCGAGTCCAAAATGGCACAACATTCAAGAATTAACATTTTCAAGAACATACTCCCTAAAGTAGCTAAAGATCTCGTCTTATTCGACTGCCTGACCCCGAGAGAATGTCACGAACATGGAGTGATAGTCCTGCGACACAGTGACGATGACCCTAGCGTAGGGCGCTTCGAGCTCTAGGTTGTGGCCGACGAGGCTCGTCTGATAGTGGTGCAGCAAGTGGTAGAGGCGATCATCGAAAATGAGCGTGCACATGCCATCGAGGAGATTGGCGACGCCGCGCACGATGAGATCTCAGTTGACGGGGAAGAAGCGGGGGTCGTCCATGCGACTGTCTTGGCAGAGCACTGAGAGGAGCGTCATCGGTGGGCCAACGAGGAGGTTCCTCATGTGAAGGCAGTGGATGACGCAGCTGGCCTCGCTAACTAGATGGCCTAGGGCGATGGTGCACAAGCCCGACAGGTGGCAGATGAATTGGTTGGTGTCCTGATCGAAGCAGAGTAGGAGTGCCACGGAATTTTGTGCCACCTGTGAGTGGCGGTCGCAGTCGTCGAGGAAGCATACCGAGGTGGTGCGCAAAAGGAGGTGATATGGAAGGAACTGGAGGAGGCATCAGTGGCGCTCGAGGAGGTGATGAACAATCTTAAACATGTGTACGCGGCACATGCATGGCCACTAGTTTATATATGAGTTCTTTCTATTAGACATGTATATGTGTGTTGTACACAATGTCTTGTAACACAAGATGTGTACAACACTTATAAATGACTAATACTTTCTTTGTTTATTTTACTTCGGGTAGCCATAATATTCATGTACCACTATCTATCATTATCCGTTTGACATTTGTTTTCTACTGTATTCTGAACTAATAAGCTTTTTATTGTGCAGACACCTAGTGTTCATAGTGTCTACCAAAATTGGTTCTTTGAAGAGGTGGATTCCCGATGAAAACAAACAAGTGGGAAATGTCATGCACATATCGAGTCCAAAATGGCAGAACATTCAAGAATTAACTCTAACATTCAAGAATTAACCCTTTCAAGAACATACTCCACAAAGTAGCTAAAGATCTCATCTCGTTGGACTACCTGACCCCGAGAGAATGTCACAAACATGGAGCGATAGTCCTTCGACAAAGTGACGATGACCCTAGCTTAGGACGGTTCGAGCTCGGGTTGAGGCCGACGAGGCCCATCTGATAGTGGTGCGATGAAGTGGTATAGGCGATCATCGAAAATGGCGTGCACACGCCATCGAGGAGATCGGCGACGCCACGATGAGATCTTAGTTGACGGGTAAGAAGAGGGGGTCATTCATAAAACTGTCCTAGTAGAGCGCAGAGGGAGTAGGGTCGGTGGGCCGGCGAGGAGGTTCCTCATGTGAAGGCAGTGGATGACGCAGCTGGCCTCGCTAACTAGATGGCCTAGGGCAGTGGTGCTCGTGCCCGGCAGGTGGGAGATGAACCGGTTGGTGCCCTGATCGAAGCAGACTAGGATCTCCTTGGCATTTTGTGCCACCTGTGGGTGGCGGTCGTAGTCGTCGAGGAAATGTACCGAGGTGGTGCGCAATAGGAGGTGAAATGGAAGGAACTAGAGGAGGCATCAATGGCGCTCGAGGAGGTGATGAACAATCGTAATCATGTGTACGCTGCACG